ATTGAAGATCTTTTAAGAAAAGGAGCATATGCAGCCATCATGGAGGAAGATGATGAAGGTTCCAAGTTCTGTGAAGAGGACATCGACCAGATCTTGTTAAGACGAACTACTACCATCACCATTGAATCTGAAGGAAAAGGTTCTACCTTTGCCAAGGTATGTTCTATCTGTGCCAGAGGCTAGAAAAGCAGAGATAGAGACCTGAGTCTCTAGGATTTAATTATGTTTTTATGCTGGGCACAGTGGCTCATGCTTGTAATCCTGGCACTTTGGGAGACCAAAGTGGGTGGATCACTTGAGGTCAGGAGTTCAAGACTAGCCTGGCCAACATGGTAAAACCCCATCCCTACTAAAAATACGAAAATTAGCCTGGAGTGGTGGCATGCACCTGTGTTCCCAGCTACTCGGGAGGCTGAAGCAGGAGAACCACTTGAACCCGGGAGGTAGAGGTTGCAGTGAGCTGAGATTGTGCCACTGCACTTAAGCCTGGGTAACAGAGTGAGACTCCATCTCAAAAAAAAAAAAAAAAGTTTTAAAAATATAGTTGCTGAATTTTGCCACTTTAAAAAAAAAGTCAGCTTTACCTCTGCATTTGTTTTTTGCTAGGCAAGCTTTGTTGCCTCTGAAAACAGGACAGATATTTCTTTGGATGACCCCAACTTTTGGCAAAAGTGGGCCAAAAAGGCTGACCTAGACATGGATCTTCTCAATAGTAAGGTGAGTTTCTTCTTACTTTAGGGAGGAAGTATCGCAGAAGACCACACTACTTTCAGGAGTCTTTATAGCTACTCTGATTATTTGATGCTTATTGTGGTTTATGATGATGTATTGGATACAAGGGCTTTGTAGATACGTTCTACCTAAGAGGCCCCAGAAAAAGAGTTGGGTATCTCCCACTTAATTTTACTTTTTGTAGATTATTTTACATGTCATTTAAAAAATCTCTGAGTATCTACACATGTTACATCCAAGGCCATTGTATCCATAATTGTCTTACTCTTTTCCCATGAACAAATCAGGAAGAGAATTACTTCTCCTTCTGTTCTCTTCATAGAATAATTTGGTAATTGACACACCTAGAGTACGAAAACAGACACGCCACTTCAGCACTCTGAAAGATGATGATCTGGTGGAATTCTCTGATTTGGAAAGTGAGGATGACGAGCGGCCACGCTCCCGCAGACATGACCGTCATCATGCCTATGGGCGCACTGACTGCTTTCGGGTGGAAAAGCATCTCCTGGTATATGGGTAAGAGCCCAGCTTGCCATGAGAGGTAGTGCATAGTGCATCTCCATCCTGATAGATACGTTTTGCCTTTTAAACTGGGGGCTATGATCAAAGAAGAGATAATGTGAAACGATATTTGCCTTGGAGGGAGTTTGTTCTATTTATTCTGTTGCTATGTTTTGTGTTTTGAGACGGAGTTTCACTCTTGTTACCCAGGCTGGAGTGCAATGGTGCAATCTCAGCTCACTGCAACCTCCGCCTTCTGGGTTCAAGCAGTTCTCCTGCCTCAGCCTCCCATGTAGCTGGGACTACAGGCGCACACCACCATGCCCAGCTAATTTTTGTTTTTAGTAGAGACGGGGTTTGACCTTGTTGACCAGGATGGTCTCGATCTCTTGACCTCGTGATCCACCCGCCTCGGCCTCCCAAAGTGCTGGGATTACAGGCGTGAGCCACCGCGCCCGGCCTTGTTGCTATGTTTTTTTAGATCTCTGTTTCACACCTTTCCAGAGACATGATTCTGAAGGGCAAGAGACCATCATTTCCCAGAAAAATGTTAATATAGTTTCCTTTTCTGTTTTTTAGTTGGGGACGATGGCGAGATATCTTATCCCATGGACGCTTCAAGCGACGTATGACTGAACGAGATGTGGAGACAATTTGCCGGGCCATTCTCGTGTACTGTCTTCTACATTACCGTGGGGATGAAAATATTAAGGGCTTTATCTGGGACTTGATTAGCCCAGCTGAAAATGGCAAGACAAAAGAATTGCAGAATCATTCAGGTAATTATCAACTCTTTCCTTTATGTTTTTCTATAGGTTATCTAATCCTTTTCAGGTCCAAGGGTTTTTCTCAATCCAAGTCTTTGATGTCTCCCCTTTCCCAGGTTTATCTATCCCTGTGCCTCGCGGACGCAAGGGAAAAAAAGTAAAGTCACAAAGTACTTTTGATATCCATAAGGCAGATTGGATCCGGAAATATAACCCTGACACGCTGTTCCAAGATGAAAGTTATAAGAAGCACTTGAAACATCAGTGTAACAAGTAAGGATATAATTTAGCAATGACATTTTTCACCTCAAACTTTCTACACTGTTGCTGAGCTTCCTCTGTCCCTTCTAGGGTACTGTTGCGGGTACGAATGCTATACTACCTGAGGCAGGAGGTTATTGGAGACCAAGCAGAGAAGGTGTTAGGGGGTGCCATTGCCAGGTAAAGTTCTGCTATATTTTTTTTATTTATGCCCTGTCTTATTTGAGGAATGATGGGTTTGCTTATTTCATTTTATGTTATCCTTGGGATATCTAATTTAAATCTATATATCAGGCCTTTAATTCTATCCTTGACACTAGCAGAAGGAAATAGGGTAGATGCATGAGTATTTAAATTGATGGAAACAGGAAGATACCTGTAATAACCCTTGCAAGGATTCTCACTTTAATTTCCTGCATTTCTATGCTAAGTCTGTCTTCTTATACCTTCAGTGAGATTGACATATGGTTCCCAGTAGTGGATCAGCTGGAGGTTCCAACAACATGGTGGGACAGTGAGGCTGACAAGTCACTGCTCATTGGAGTCTTTAAACATGGTATGAACCTTCTCCTATTCTATTCCTTTTCTACTGAAGATTTGTGTTCACAGATGGAACATTTAGCAAAATGCTCATGAGAAATAACTGAGTTATCTGATTGATCTTCAGTAAATTTGAGTAGGAAAGTAGTTCTTAAATATCCAGAGCAGTTAGTACCTATAAATAGATGTTCAAGAAGGACCAGATGGTTATGTAAATCTCAATGTAGGGAGCCTCCCATCTGTTCTCTAATCACTGTCCCACAAATCAGGGCAGGTAATGTACCCCCACTATTGTTAATAATAACCACACTTAATTTGTATGGCTTTCCTCTTGGTCCAGGCTAGCATAACAATTACAGCAGATCATCTTGTTGCAGTTGTATTTCTGGGCGAGTAGGCAGAGGGAAGGCTTAATAATGCTATCTCAGAGGTGAAGCACCACCTGCAAGGTGGACTCTTTCTGGATGTTATACTCTGAAAGAGTGCGGCCATCCTCCAACCATCTGCCCGCAAATATCAGATGCTGTTGGTCAGGTGGGATGCCCTCCTTGTCTTGGATCTTGGCTTTGACATTTTCATTGGTGTCACTGGGCTGGCCCTCAAGGATGATGGTTTTGCCTGTGAGGGTCTTTATAGAGATCTGCATCTCTGTCAGCTTCGGCCACCTCACTGAAGAGAAAGAACTGAAAAATCTTCTATTTGCGGAAATGTCCTGTTTACCTAAATGTTCAGCATTCACTCTGCTGTAGGTATGAGCAGCAGTGTTTGAGTGGAATAAAGCATATAAGAAGGGAGAGTGACTAGCCAAAACAAAAAATGTAGTGAGGGGTAGGAGTATTTCTTTATTCTTTTTACTGTTTTGCCAAATAACCAAATCCCAGGCACTAAAAAGCAGTGAGCATTAACTTTTAGCCAAATGACTTCGTGAATTAGAATCTTTTTTTAAGAATGTCTTTTTTTAAAAAAGAATATTTTTATTTTTATTTTCTATAAAATAAAACTAATGGCACTTAAGCTACATCTTTTTTGACACTTTTAATAGGATAAAAAAAACAGCAGGCAAGCCATGGTGGCTCACACCTGGAATCCCAACAGTTTGGGAGCCTAAGACTATCGATCACTACTTAAAAACTCTTCCTGGCCAGGTGCTGTGGCTCACACCTGTAATCCCAGCACTTTGGGAGGCCGAGGCAGGAGGATGACAAAGTCAGGAGTTCGAGACCAGCCTGACTAACATGGAGAAACCCCGTCTCTACTAAAACAAACAAACAAACAAACAAAAAATTAGCTGGGCATGGTGATGCATGCCTGTAATCTCAGCTACTCGAGAGGCTGAGGCAGGAGAATTGCTTGAACCCAGGAGGCGGAGGTTGCAGTGAGCCAAGAGCTTGTCATTGCACTCCAGCCTGGGCAACAAGAGCGAAACTCCGTCCCCCATCCCCCTCAAAAAAAAAACCTCTCCATAACCCTAAATTGCTATAAAAATATTAAATATAATTAACCCCCCCAAAATACTAATAACCCAGTAGTTGTCCACGGTAACATTGCAACTATGTTTTGCATCATGAGCAATATAGAAAGTAAACATAAAGGCAAAACAAATCTCTCATTTTCTTCAACTATGACCCTTTTTCTTCTAGGCTATGAGAAATATAATACTATGAGGGCAGACCCAGCCTTATGTTTCCTAGAAAAGGCTGGCCGACCAGATGACAAAGCAATTGCAGCAGAACACCGAGTGTTGGATAACTTCTCTGACATAGTAGAAGGGTAAGCATTAGTATTTATTCTTTTAAAGCTCTAACTTGTGCTGTGAGATAACATAACTCTAGCCTTGACTGAACCCAGTGGGATTCTTAATTGTCATTATACTCATAAGTGATAAATCCTTAGCAAAAAATTGGACCAGCAGAAAGGACTCCATAAACTGCCTAAACCACATGTTCATAAGATACAACTGAGGGTGAAAATGAATGTTAACTTGCAAATGGCTTACTTGATATTCTGTTTGGTTTGGTTTACAACACTCTTCTGCACAGCTACAGTAGCAAAGAGGATAACTGGTCTCTTGAAAGATAACAGCCAGCAGCACTCATATGTTGCTTCTGTGGTAGAGCCTTAGGCACTTTCAGCCCTGGTTTATCATCTTCCAATGGTACCTTGTACATAAAGGCATTCATTTTGCCTGAATACATGTCCCAATGATGAGTTGCCATGCTAATACTGAGCCACCAGGTAGGGCAGTATTGCCCTGGTTTGGGTGACAGTGAGTTTAACAAAACTTCTCACATGAATACCTGAGGGGCATGTGAAATAGTTGGCTTAATTAATGAATGCCTACCCATTCCATTATGACTGACAGATTTCTCTTTGATGATCACACACCCTCAGTTTACCTAGTGTAGGACCCTCCAAGGAAATTGGGTTATTTATTCATTGCAAATCCATTATTATGCCACCTGTCCGCTCAGAAGAACAAAGTAATAACAAAAAAGCATGAACTATTAAAATGAAATAATAAAAAGTAAATAGTTGGGGAGGAGGAAGAGTTAAATAATAAGGGCTGTTAAGAAAAAGGAACTGTGTTTATCAAAGTGTTTCAAATTCAAGCAGTTACGAATGGTACATTGTCAATTTCTTGTAATTATTTTTATTCCATTGGACGCTATAACAGACTGACCCAAAGTTTAGCACCTGGCCTGCCATTCCTGTGAACATGAAATTAAAGACTAGGCCAGGCACTGTGGCTCATTCCTGTAATCCCAGCACTTTAGGAGGCCAAGGTGGGTGGATCACTTGAGCCCAGGAGTTTCTGGGAGGTCAAGGTGGGTGGATCACTTGAGCCCAGGGGTTTGAGACCAACTTGAGCAATGTGGTGAAACCCCATCTCTACTATAAATACAAAAATTAGCCTGGTGTGGTGGCAGATACCTGTAAGTCCCACCTACTCACGAGGCTGAGACAGGAGAATTGCTTGAACCCAGAAGGCACAGGTTGCAGTAAGCCGAGATTGTGCCACTGCAATCCAGCCTGGGCTACAGAGCGAGAGTTCATCTCAAAAAAAATAAAAGAAAAAAAACCATATATATGCAAATAAGGCTGGGCATGGTGGTTCATGCCTGTAATCCCAGCACTTTGGGAAGCTGCGGCAGGCAAATCATGAGGTCAGGAGTTCAAGACCAGCCTGATCAATATGGTGAAACCCCATCTCTACTAAAAATATTTTTTAAAAGTAGCCAGGAGTGGTGATGCACGCCTCTACTACCAGCTACTTGGGAGGCTGAGGTTGGAGAATCGCTTGAACCTGGAAGGTGGAGGTTTCAGTGAGCCAAGATCGCGCCGCTGCACTCCAGCCTGGGTGATGGACCAAGACCCCATCTGAAAAAATAAAAATAGGCCAGGCATGGTGGCTCACGCCTATAATCCAAGCACTGTGGAGGCCAAGGCAGGTGGATCACCTGAGGTCGGGAGTTCAAGACCAGCCTGACTAACATGGTGAAACCCCATCTTAAAAGAAATAAATAAAAACTAAGCCAGGCACTATGGCTCACACCTGGAATCCCAGTACTTTGGGAGGCCATGGCGGGTGGATCACTTGAGCCCAGAAGTTTGAGACCAGCGTGGGCAACATGGCAAAACCCCACTTCTACAAAAAATAGAAAAGTTAGCTGGGTGTGGTGGCGCACACCTGTAGTCCCAGCTACTCAGGACGCTGAGGGAGGAGGATCACTTGAGTCCAGGAGGTGGAGGCTGTGGTGAGCCACGATAGGGCCATGACATTTCAGCCTGGGTGACAGAGTAAGACCCTGTCCTGAAAATAATAGTAATAAAGACTATTTCATGCCGGATATATGTGTGGCTAGGTTGTCATCCTAGGTTCTCTTAGTGATAGAAGATACGTTATTAACACTTTCTTGTGCCTCTGGATAATTTTAGGGTTGACTTTGATAAAGATTGTGAAGATCCTGAATATAAACCACTCCAGGGTCCCCCAAAGGACCAAGATGATGAGGTAAGGAATTCTCATTTGAGTCTCACTTTTCTCTATTATTAAATGTTTTTAAGTCTTCTCCCATTCTCTGAATCTTGAAGTATATTGGTTAATTTGTAATACAAATGGAAAATGAATTATACCATTTGAGTATATAAAGTATTAATGGAAAGGACTGTATTGCAGCTGGGGGAGATCAGGGATGACTTTGTGGTGGAGGTGGCACCCTAGCTGGACATTGAAATATATTATTTGACTACTAAATTCCTGAGTTCCATTATTTTCAAGTCATTAATAAGAACTGACCTTTCAGGTTCTACTTTCTTGTTCTTCTTTTAGTTGGTTGTTTCCAAGTTTTTATGAGGGCTCCTTTCTTTAGAAATTTTTCTTGATCCCTTGGTGCCATAGAAGGACACATATAAGAAAGTGATTTCAGAGTGCCAACTTCCCCCCCTTTCCCTCCCCGCTCCATCCTATGGGGTGGATCTCCTTCTCTAGGGTGATCCCTTGATGATGATGGATGAGGAGATCTCAGTGATTGATGGAGATGAAGGTAAACTTCTAGGTCAACTAGTATAATTCTGTGTGGGGTGGTGGGTTGGGGAATTATTCACTGAATTCTGTCCTATCCTGGGATTTCTAAATGCTTTGCCTTTGGGTGGGTTTAAATACTAGTATTATCTCTACTATCCTTGCTATATTTCTATTCATTCTACTTTGTTTTTCACAGCCCAGGTGACCCAACAGCCAGGGCATTTATTCTGGCCTCCAGGCTCTGCCCTAACAGCTAGGCTTCGGCGCCTAGTAACAGCATATCAGCGCAGCTACAAGAGAGAACAGATGAAGATAGAGGCTGCAGAACGTGGGGATCGGCGAAGACGCCGTTGTGAAGCAGCCTTCAAGCTGAAAGAAATTGCACGGCGGGAGAAACAACAACGGTAAATCATAGCTGGAAACCTGTGCTGATCTGTGTCTTTAATTATGGTCCCTATACTGAAAGCCATCTCAGGAAGGATTTATTTGGAATTCTCTACAGAGGGACCATCTTTTCTCCCTTGGGTGGTTAAACCTGTAGAAATTAAAACCTCACTTCTGTGCAATAATCATTAACTCTCAGTAGGTCTCCTGTGTAGACATTCTCATTTATATTTTTGCCTGTCATTTCCCCCTTAGCTCTGTAATTCTTCCTCATTATGGAGAACCTCTCACTACCTCTTCTCGGCCTTATTATTATTATTATTATTTTTTGGCATCTACTTTAAGTTTTTGTGTTTTTAGGTATTCTAAAGCACATTAAAATGTAACCAGTTTTCTTGTGTTCTTCTGATTATTGTTGCCCTACTTTTCCTTTTGTAGATGGACAAGGCGTGAACAAACTGATTTTTATCGAGTGGTATCTACCTTTGGTGTGGAATATGACCCTGACACCATGCAGTTCCATTGGGATCGCTTCCGCACTTTTGCTCGACTAGACAAAAAAACAGATGAAAGCCTTACCAAGTACTTCCATGGCTTTGTGGCCATGTGCCGCCAAGTATGCCGCCTTCCCCCAGCAGCTGGAGATGGTAAGAAAGATTGCAGAGTGGCTGGGGATGGATGCCAAAAGAACCAACTATGTTAATTTCTTCTTCTACTCCTGTCTCTTGCAGAACCCCCAGACCCTAATCTGTTCATTGAGCCCATCACTGAGGAGAGAGCCTCACGGACTCTCTACCGAATCGAATTGCTTCGGCGCTTAAGGGAACAAGTTTTATGCCACCCCCTTTTGGAAGATCGGCTGGCATTGTGTCAGCCTCCAGGTCCTGAATTGCCCAAATGGTGGGAGCCTGTTCGGCATGATGGGGAACTTCTACGAGGCGCAGCCCGCCATGGGGTGAGCCAAACAGACTGCAACATCATGCAGGACCCAGACTTCTCTTTTCTAGCTGCCCGTATGAATTATATGCAGAACCATCAAGCAGGAGCACCAGCTCCATCCTTGTCACGCTGCTCTACTCCACTGCTGCACCAGCAGTATACCTCACGTACTGCCTCACCATTGCCCCTGCGCCCAGATGCTCCTGTAGAAAAGTCACCCGAGGAGACAGCTGCCCAGGTCCCCAGTCTGGAGAGTCTGACTTTAAAGCTAGAGCATGAGGTGGTGGCCAGGAGCCGACCAATCCCACAAGACTATGAGATGCGAATAGCCCCCTCTGATACTACCCCTCTGGTTTCCCGGAGTGTTCCACCAGTCAAACTGGAGGATGAGGATGATTCAGACTCTGAGCTGGACTTGAGCAAGCTGTCACCATCATCCTCTTCTTCCTCATCCTCATCCAGCTCCAGCTCCAGCACTGATGAGAGTGAGGACGAGAAGGAAGAGAAGCTAAGTGAGTGCATGTGACAGGCTGTTGGCCCTCTTTCCTATTTCACCCCTCTCTTCTTTTTCCCTTTTCTAAATGCATCCTCTTGAGAGATCTGGATTTTGATTTGATAAAATGTTAAAAGAGACCTGTTATTCTTTGGGCCTTTATTCAAAGCCCATATAATAGTATTATCATATGACATTATTCTTCCATCTTTTCTCACACATTCTATGGGATCTCTTAGCAGCTGATCAGTCCCACTCAAAACTCTATGATGAAGAGAGTCTCCTGTCCCTCACTATGTCCCAAGATGGATTCCCAAATGAAGACGGAGAACAAATGACCCCTGAGCTTCTGCTACTGCAGGAAAGACAAAGAGCCTCTGAGTGGCCCAAGGTAACAAACAGCCTCATCCCTGGACATGTAGAGTCCAGAAATACAGTGTAACATTATATCCAGGGAACAAGGAACGTATGGTTTTGGTTTTTTTAAATTGTGTTTATTGCTGCATGTTTTTTCAGGAAACTTCCCAGTCGACTTAGGAATCTTAATAGTATTACCTTTCTCCTTTCTGCCTTATGATTTTTACCCATCCTGGTAGTGATGGCACTATTGAGTATCTCAGGATCACAAAGACCCTAAAAATGGTATTTCTTTCTTTCCCCATTCAGGATCGTGTCCTGATAAACCGTATTGACCTCGTCTGCCAGGCTGTACTCTCAGGGAAGTGGCCTTCTAGCCGTAGGAGCCAGGAAATGATAACAGGAGGAATTTTGGGGCCAGGCAACCACTTGCTAGACAGTCCCTCATTGACTCCTGGAGAATATGGTGACTCTCCAGTCCCCACACCACGAAGTAGTAGTGCAGCTTCCATGGCAGAGGAGGAAGCATCTGCAGTCACTACAGCAGCAGCCCAGTTCACCAAACTTCGCCGAGGCATGGATGAAAAGGAGTTTACAGTTCAAATCAAAGATGTAAGTTTGGCATTTGGGCATTGGGTAGTGGGGAAGGAGGCTGTAATCTTGCTGTAACTAATTTTACTAATAGGTTACTAAACTCATTTGGTTAGCTAATTTTAAAAATGAGTAAACTTTTATTGGAGCTTACAGAGATCCATTTAGGAAGAGTCATTTTTCCTGGTTGTTTTCCTTATTGAACCCTATTGATTATTAATTCTATTAATAATCAAAAAAGAGAAGTTTCTTAAATTAGTACACATAACAATAGGAAGATTTTGCCCCTGTGATGAGCTGTCATACTAATACAGAGACACCAGTTAGGGATTTTACCCTGCATTGGGTGTTGTTGAAATAAACTCTTTCTCGTAAATCCCGAGGGGCACTAGGTAAAGAAGTGAAATCCTTTTAAGGAATAATTGTATTTGTTTTCTTGTATTTCTGATTTTACCCTTTAGTCAGATGGCCTTCTTGCTATCATTGGGCAAGAGGATGACCCATAGTCTACATCCCTCAAAGTTTAATCTTTACTTTTAAAAAACATGTGCCATATGATGTCTTGGGTGGGTGGGTTGTCTTCTTAGGAGGAAGGATTGAAGTTAACATTCCAGAAGCACAAGTTGATGGCTAATGGGGTAATGGGAGATGGACATCCACTGTTTCATAAGAAGAAGGGGAACAGAAAGAAGCTAGTAGAGGTGAGTGGTAAAGTAAGTTTTTAATGTGATAATTAAATTGTCTTTTTATTCCTAATAATTGATGAAGGCAGTTGGGATTGAGGGGATAAAAGATACTAGAGCTATTTCATGACTACCATTGGCTCTGCTCCCCCTTCCTTCCTCCCTCAAAGAAGAGTATGTGCTTATGGGGGTGGATTCTGGGTTTGCAGCTGGAGGTGGAGTGCGTGGAAGAGCCTAATCACCTTGATGTGGACCTGGAGACCCGGATCCCTGTCATCAATAAGGTGGATGGTACTTTGCTGGTGGGTGAGGATGCCCCTCGCCGGGCTGAACTGGAGATGTGGTTACAGGGTCATCCAGAGTTTGCTGTCGATCCCCGATTTTTAGCGGTGAGTGGCAGTCCCATCCAGCAAGATTTAAAGTCATTCCATTGGTACTTAAGCTGCATGAGAAAGAGAAAGCATGATATATAATATCATTGTTTCTGTATCTACAAAATAAGGGTAATAATAATGCCCAGTCATCCAACCTTACAATTGTGATGCCCAAAATAAAATAATGTTGAAGTACTTAAACTAAGTGCTAGGCAAATGTTTACTATTGAACTATTATGTAAACCACTTAATATTTTTTGGAGAGATCCCACTTAATGGCAGTTTTCCACTAGGATTAATCGTTTATTTATGCAGCAAGCGTTTATTATCAAACAAAAGACACTAGTACTAATAATTACTCCAGAGAAGATTTCTCTTCCTCTAGGATAACTGATTTTTTTTTCCTATTACAGTATATGGAAGATCGCAGAAAACAGAAGTGGCAAAGATGTAAAAAAAATAATAAGGCAGAATTGAACTGTTTGGGAATGGAAACAGTACAAACAGCTAACTCTAGGAATGGGAAAAAGGTGAGAAACTGAAGCATTACCACTCTGTTCCCACACTAGATGTGACATTACAAGGCTTTCAATGATGATTGTGACTAACGTTATTTATCTTTTTTCCTACGTATGTTTCTGTGAAGAATTATCTTCAGTTCACCAATAAGGAAACCAGAGTTTTTTATTTTTTGAGATGGAGTCTCACTGTGTTGCCCAGTGCAGTGGTACAATCTCGACTCACTGCAACCTCTGCCCTCCCAGGTTCAAGCGATTCTCTTTTGTCAGCCTCCCAAGTAGCAAGGATAACAGGTGCCTGCCACTGTGCCCAGCATTTTTAGTGGAGACGGTTTCACCATCTTGGCCAGGCTGGTCTTGAACTCCTCACTTTGTGATCCACCCACCTTGGGCTCCCAAAGTGCTGGATTACAAGAGGCATAAGCTATTACACCTAGCCCAGAGTATTTTTATCAGTATTTTTGCAGTCCTGTGGTATTGTCATCTCTAGAAAAGCATAAAATTCTAAAAACCCACTTTAGTACTTTATGCATATGAAAATACAAGAATTAGTAAGATGTGTTAGAACATTAAGGGCTAACTCTGTTCTGTTGAATAACTAAGGGATTTTGGACAAATCATTTTACCTTTTCAGTTTTTACTTCCTGAAAATTGTGGGTTTTAAAGCAATTTCTTAAGTTTTCTGTTTTTCTTTCTTTGAGACATGGTCTCATTGTGTCACCAAGGCTGGAGTGCGGTGGCACGATCTCAACTCACTGCAACTTCTGCCTCCCCTGGTTCAAGCCATTCTCCTGCCCAGCCTCTCAAGTAGCTGGGATTGCAGTGTGTGCCACCAGGCTGGACTAATTTTTTGTATTTTTATTAGGGACAAGGTTTCACCATGTTGCTCAGGCTGCTCTGGAACTCCTGGCCTCAAGTGATCCACCCGCCTTGGTCTCCCAAAATGATGGGATTACAGGAGTGAGCCACTGCACCCAGCCTTTAGTTTTCAAATTCTGTATATTTTAGAAGTCTTTGGAGAGGTCTACTAAGGAAAATAGTCATGAGATTTCTCAATATATAAAAAGTTGAGGGCCGGGCGCAGTGGCTCAAACCTGTAATTCCAGCACTTTGGGAAGCCGAGGCGGGTGGATCACGAGGTCAAGAATTCGAGACCATCCTGGTCAACATGGTGAAACCCCATCTCTACTAAAAATACAAAAAATTAGCTGGGCATGGTGGCGTGTGCCTATAATCCCAGCTACTCAGGAGGCTGAGGCAGGAGAATTGGCTGAGGCAGGAGAATTGCCTGAACCCAGGAGGCGCAGGTTGCAGGGAGCTGAGATTGCGCCATTGCACTCCAGCCTGGGTAACAAGAATGAAACTCCGTCTCAAAAAGAAAAAAAAATAATAAGTTGAAAATCACTAATAATATGTCAGTAATGGAAAAAGCAGAGGATACTATGTTTTATAATTCATAATAATAAATTTGGCCATTAAGTTATTCTATATTTTCAAATTTACTTACACTTATATGATGGTTGATAGGACATCTGGTGGATTAAGTAACCATAATTTCTTCTTTCCAGCAAATTATAACTGCAAAAGTTTCTCTTGGCTATACTTACCTTACTTTCTGCAATAGTTGTATTTATTTTTTTTTTTTTGAGACAAGAGTCTTGCTCTGTTGCCCAGGCTGGAGTGCAGTGGCACAATCTCACCTCACTGCAACCTCTGCATCCCCAGTTCAATTGATTCTCCTGCTTCAGCCTGCTGAGTAGCTGGGACCTCCAGTGCATTCTACCGTGCCTGGCTAATTTTTGTTTTTTGTTAGTGGGTTTTTTTGAGATGGAGCTTCACTCTTGTTGCACAGGCTGGAGTGCAGTGGTGTGATCTCAGCTCATTGCAACCTCTGCCTCCCAGATTCAAGTGATTCTCCTGCCTCGGCCTCCTGAGTAGCTCGGATTACAGGTGTGTGCCACCACTCCCGGCTAATTTTGTATTTTTAGTAGAGACAGGGTTTCTCCATGTTGGTCAGGCTGGTCTCAAACTCCTGATCTCAGGTGATCCACCTGCCTCAGCCTCCCAAAGTGCCGGGATTACAGGGGTGAGCCACTGCGTCCAGGTGCATTTTTGTATTTTTATTAGAAACAAGGTTTTGCCATGTTGGTCAGACTGGTCTCAAACTCCCAACCTCAGGTGATCTACCTGCCCCAGCCTCCCAAAGTACTGGGCTTATAGGCATGAGCCACCATGCCCAGCCAATAGTTATATTTTTAAACCATACATAAATCATTGTTCAGAAGAGTCATTTAAAATGGATTAGCACTTGTGTATACTTAATTTATCTAATCATTCCTTCATTTAATCTTTCATAGAAATCTTTATACATATATAGTCATCCCTTGGTATCTGTGAGAGATTGGTTCCAAGACCCCTGCAGATACCAAACTCCATGGATGCTCGAGTCCTTTATATATAAAATGGTGTATAGCCAGGTGCTGTGGCTCTTACCTGTAATCCCAGCACTTTGGGAGGCTGAGGCAAGAGGATCACTTGTGCCTAGGAGCTCAAGACCAGCCTGGGCAACACAGTGGGACCTTAGATCTATAAAAAGTAAAAAAAAAAAGGCCGGGTGCAGTGGCTCAAGCCTGTAATCCCAGCACTTTGGGAGGCCGAGGGGGTGGATCACGAGGTCAAGAGATCGAGACCATCCTGGTCAACGTGGTGAAACCCCGTCTCAAAATAAAAAAAATTAGCTGGGCATGGTGGCGCGTGCCTGTAATCCCAGCTACTCAGGAGGCTGAGGCAGGAGAACTGCCTGAACCCAGGAGGCGGAGGTTGCGGTGAGCCGAGATTGCGCCATTGCACTCCAGCCTGGGTAACAAGAGTGAAACTCCGTCTCAAAAAAAAATAAAAATAAAAATAAAAAATAAATTAGCTGGGCATGGTGGTGCAGTCCTATAGTCTCAGTTATGAGGAAGCTGAGGCAGAAAGATCACTTGAGCCCAGAGGCTGAGGCTGTAGTGAGTTGTGATCATGCACTCCAGCCTGGGCAATGGAGTCTGAGACCCTGTCTCAAAGAAACAACAACAAAAAAACAAAGTCATGTAGTATTTCCATGTAACCTACACACTTCCTTTGATATACTTTAATCTCTTGATTACTTACAATACCTAATACAAGGCTGGTTATGGTGGCTCATGCTTGTAATCCCAGCACTTGGGAGGCTGAGGCAGGTGGTTCACAAGGTCAGGAGTTTGAGACCAGTCTGGCCAATGTGGTGAAACCCCGTCTCTACTAAAAATACAAAAATTAGCCGGGTGTAGTAGCAGACACCTATAATCCCAGGTACTTGGGAGGCTAAGGCAGGAGAATTGTTTGAACCCAGGAGGCGGAGGTTGCAGTGAGCCAAGATCACACTATTGTACTCCAGCCTGGGCAACAGGGCGAGACTCTGTGTCAAAAAAAAAAAAAAACAACCAAAAACCTAAAATGCTATGCAAATAGTTATGACACCATATTGCTTTAAAATTTGTATTATTTTCTATTGTTGTATTGTTATTTTTTAGTTTTTTGTTTTCAAATATTTTCAATCCACAGATGGTTGAATCCATGGATATGGAAGGCTATGTGTACACATGTATTTATGTGTCTATATAACCACATGGAATATCTTTTAACAAAATTAATTTTTTTCTCCCAATCAATGCATATTTGCAAAATAACAAAATTAATTTTAAACTAGGCATTTAACAAATTTGAAACACATAATACATGTAGATTTATGAGGCTTATTTTTATATTGATGGAAGTGTTACTATGGAAGAATGTTTCAGTTTTTCCTGTTATCGTCAAGGAGAACAAGAGTGCAATAAACAGAATGGTTGATATGGGAAAGGCCGGTGGCTAGAAGGCTAATGCCATCTCTGTCTTGAATTTAACATTACAGAGCAGCCTACTAGAAGGGCATTTCCTTCACTGTTAACTATTTTTATCTCAAGTATTTCTGCTACTCCCTATAGTCAACTGAAACTCTTGAGAAATATCAGAAAAATCACAGAAAAATCCTAATATGACTAGTACAGAATTCTTTTTTCTTTTTCATTTTTTTTTTTTTTGAGATAAAATCTCCCACTGTCACCAAGGCTGGAGTGGAATGGCATGATCTCAGCTCACTGCAACCTCTGCCTCCTGGGTTCAAGCGATTCTCCTGCCTCAGCTGCCTGAATAACTGGGATTGCAGGCTTGCACCATCACAGCCAGCTATTTTTTTATTTGAGATAAAGTTTCCCTCTTGTTACCCAGGCTGGAGTACAATGGCGTGATCTTAGCTCACTGTGACCTCTGCCTCCTGGGTTCAAGCAATTCTCCGGCCTCAGCCTCTTGAGTAGCTGGGATTACAGGCATGTGCCACCACACCTGGCTAATTTTTTGTATCTTTAGTAGAGACAGGGTTTCTCCATGTTGGTCAGACTGGTCTTGAACTCCTGACCTCAAGTGATCCGCCTGCCTCAGTCTCCCAAAGTGCTGGGATTACAGGCATAATATGCCACTGCACCCAGTCCAGAATTCTTAATATAGAATCGATAGTGAATCTAGCACTACATTATTCCTGTGACCCACAGGAATAAATTCTCGCTTCAATGAACGTAATCAGAATTTTTTAGTCAGAACATCTAGAGAAGCCATTTAAAATTCAGATATATGTTTTTTATCAATGTGGAACAAAAATTATTTTATTAAATTTGTTGAGGAGTTTGTTTTTTTTTGTTTTTTGTTTTGGTGCTCTAGACATCTAGCAGTCTTTTTCTGACCTGTCTTGAATTTACCCTGCTTTGATGTGATAATAGAGGATATTATTATAAATGTCAATATAGTTGTGCTGCACTTCACATAGTAAGAAAAAGTGAACAACCTGACATCAGGAGACACTTAAATGAATTTTTTTATATGCATTTACTAATTCATTCACTGTCTTACCAGAGCCCTTCATAATAAAGGTAAGCATTTGTGAAATGATTGACTGAAGTAAAGATACAATATAGTCATGGGGAATAAAAGCGAAAACTAGCTCATGAGTTTCAGTACCAAATCACTGATCTTAACTTCAATATCAGAATGTTTCAACCAGCTAAACCCAACATTTCCTCCTTCCCATTACCACCAATTAAGCCTAGGATGGCTATACTTGCTTTGCCTGTTCTAAGGTGCATTCAGTAAAAAAGCATTGTAAGCTAGGACTCTCTGTTGGCGTTGGTTTCTTTTCCTTTTTCCCCTTTCTTTCTTTTTATTATCTTCTTCTATTCCCTCCTCCCAGGGTCATCACACTGAAACAGTGTTCAACCGGGTTTTACCAGGGCCTATTGCACCAGAGAGCAGCAAGAAGCGGGCCCGTAGAATGCGACCAGACCTTTCTAAGATGATGGCCCTCATGCAGGGTGGAAGCACTGGGTCTCTATCTCTGCATAACACGTTCCAACACAGCAGTAGTGGCCTACAGTCTGTGTCATCTTTGGGTCACAGCAGTGCCACTTCTGCATCTTTGCCTTTTATGCCATTTGTGATGGGTGGTGCAGCATCATCCCCTCATGTAGACTCCAGCACCATGCTTCATCACCACCACCACCACCCCCACCCCCACCCCCACCATCACCACCATCACCATCCAGGCCTGAGAGCCCCTGGCTACCCCTCTTCACCAGCAACTACCACCTCTGGTACTACCTTGCGGTTGCCATCACTGCAACCTGAGGAAGATGATGATGAGGATGAAGGTGATGATGATGATTTATCTCAGGGCTATGATAGCTCAGAAAGGGACTTCTCACTCATTGATGATCCTATGATGCCAGCCAACTCAGACTCCAGTGAAGATGCTGATGACTGAAGCCCCAGCATGGGCCCCATTGCTTGGGTGGCTGCTGTATTTTCATTTACTCTGGCCCTTGGACTATGGAAACGTGGGAGGGACAGGGGAGATGTGGGGAAGTCCAGGACTCCAGGAGGTGAAAAGGAAAAAAATATATACCTGATTGCTCCCACTTATGAGAGGATTGGGTGGGCAGGGGAACTCCTGAAATAATACATGACCACTTCCTCATTTCTGGGGAAGGAAAGGAGACTAGAGCAGCTGGTGCGCTCACCCCTCCCTAGACACCTCCATTAACCACAGACTATGTAGCGCTGGCCCTAGCCTCTGGCAGAGCCTGTTCCTGGCCGAACTGTGGATACAGCTGGAGGGTCAGGAACTGTTACCTTCCTTCCCCTTGGCATTAATAAATTTAAGTTAATCCTTTTCCACTCTTCCTTTGTTCTATATTTGCTCAAACCCAATGTGAGTATTGATTTTGGGAGGTGGGTAATTTTAGCACCACGTTGCTGAAGTTAAGTACTATCCATACTAAATTACCTTGGATAGAGCAGATTAAGTCATTTGTACTTCTCTAAAGGGCATAATGTAAATGTAGACAGTCCAGCTGCCTAAAGGCAAGGGAATTCTTTAAGGTAAAAGGAGGACAAACTTCTGGATTGAAACTCCCAAGTTTTTAGAAGAAACAGGAAGCAAGCATTTCATCAAGAACCATGTACATTTTGTTTCTAATTACCTGAAGTAACGGTTCTTTGTGGGGAAGGCATAGAATAGTGTCACTTTTCATGAACTGCAGCAAGGGGACTGGCTGACTGGAAGGATGCTCAAGGGATTGGGGTTGTGGAAAGGAACTAAAGGTGTGTGAAGCTCCTCAAGTCATTTATTTCCTCTGACTTCTACCATCCCACTGCTCAGACAAAGCCTGGGCATATAATTTTCCTTTCGAAAGCTAGGTTCCTTCCCATAGCTTGGATCGTAGTTTATCGCGAGGCTGGGCTCCATTTCCTAGGTATGAGATCTCTGTCCCGGCGGACCGCTTGACCGAGCATTCTGGCACCAAGGATTCCTCTGGCCCTGGAGCAGTTAAAGACGTGTATCCCCCATCGTTTCCAGGAGGGGCGCGTGCCCAGTTACACTGTTGTATTTCCACTTTTATCCCACGCTGCATCCCGCTCTTTCCGCTCCCCTTCTTTTGCTGATGGGGTGGAGCTATCACGCCCGCGCGCGGCAGCTCTTGTTGGGCTGCGCAGGCACCGCCTTCTTCGCTTCGCCTAGTGGCTGCCGCCTCGGCAAAAAGTCTGAGGTCCTGGAAACCGCGGCTGGGCTGAGAGTTAAGGGCGGAGGCAGACCGTCACGTGACGACGTAGATTCGCGTGCGGCAGTGGCGAAGTCCACAAAACCCCGCGAAAATCGACTCTTTGCATTGCAGGTTTTGTTGATTTTCTTCGTTTTTCTTTCTCTCCGCCCCCTACCCATCCGAGAGAGGATTTAAAAAAAAAAAAAAAAAATTCCTAACGCTGTCGGGACCCGGAAGCGGAAAGGGCATCTTTGAGGTCGATACTTCCGGGTCACTGGGAGAGTGCGGGATTCCTGGGCCGAAAGCGGGTGGCAGAACCGGGACTTCGCGTGATTCTCGGAACCCGAGGAGAAGCGGTGTCCGGGGCTATGGCTGTGACTCTGGACAAAGACGCTTATTATCGGCGAGTGAAGAGACTGTACAGCAATTGGCGGGTGAGGAAGATCCCGTAATTTTTCTAGGGAGCCCCCTCTGCCATCCCATAATAACCCTGTTTCTCGGCGCCCTTTTTTCTTTTTCGGTCGGGAATTCCTGGGTTCAGGGTCTACCCCTTTTCGTTGCTCCCGAATCGTTCACGGGAGGCGACCACGAACGCTGCCCCGTAACAGGGAATCCCCCGCATTCACCCTGCTGCGGCCATCACCATCCACCCCGCGTGCCAGCCTTGATCATGCATAACACAGCACTTCTCGCAGTCTCTTCCCGCCCTAGAAGAGGCAACATCCTTCCCTCCTACTCCGTGGTAACGTCTTGCTGCCCCCTCCTGCGGTGTTCTTACGCACCCACGCACTCGCTGTGCCCCTCCGGAACCACAATATTCCACCCCTGGTCCCGCCAGAATTATAACCGTCTTCGTAAAGGAGAGATGGAAGGGCAAGGAGGATGCCAATCGGACTCTTAGCCTTTGTCGTTTGCGGGGCTTTTGCTGGAGTTAAAAAAAGAAATACTGCTCACGCGCAATCGCCTCCTGTTCTAGGCCCTGGTGTGGGTTAGAGAGAGAGAGAGAGACCTAACGCTGAAAGCCTGCAGACAAAAGTAATACCAAAACAAAACGATGCCTAAAACCTTATTAGTTCCTTGGTTGTGTATCTGTGGGCACGTGTTCAGAAAAAGAGCTGTGGCAGTTCTCAGTTTTTTAAAGATAGGCAGTTTTGCTGCTTTAAAAACGGCCACAGTTTAAACATTTTTATGATACTAACTTGAGCAAACACTGGGTTGCTTTCTGTGATGCAGTCTGAGTTGACTAGCTTGTCTTGCCTCTGAATCCTGTCATCAAGGAAGATACAGCTAATAAAGATTTTTTTAATTAAACCTGAAAAACATTTTGAGAAAAATCAGTTTTCATTTCAGCTTTGTAAGTTATGGTTGAAACTGATCCTCTGCTAAAACCAAGCCATTGAAATTGGTTATTTCCTTGCCATTCCTATTAAAGATGCCTGTGCATGTTTCATCTTTTGAAGCTAAATACATTAGATAATTGAAAATAAAAAGGATTCTCAGTTACATTTTATGAAAAGCAAAAATAAAAACTCAGTGCTAGATGAATGCTGAACGTTTTAATTTTAATTTTTATTTAATTTTTTTTTTTTGAGATGGAGTTTCGCCCTTGTTGCCCAGGCTGGAGTGCAATGGTTTGATCTCGGCTCACTGCAACCTCCACCTCCCAGGTTCAAGAAATTCTCCCTCAGCCTCCGGAGTAGCTGGGACTATAGGCGTGCGCCACCACGCCCAGCTAAATTTTGTGTTTTTAGTAGACACGGGGTTTCACCGTGTTGACTGGGATGGTCTCGGTTTCCTGACCTCGTGATCCGCCTCCTGGGTCTCCCAAAATGCCGGGATTACAGGCGTGAGCCACCACACCCAGCCTGTTTTTTGAACTTTTTAATTAATTTCCACCTAATGATTTTTTACAGCTTGTCTCACTGTCATATTATTATTCAAACATGATCTATGTTAGAAAAACGTTTTAAAACCTTGATACTTTCTAATGATCGGTAAGTACTAAAAATCTGAAACCCTCTTTTCTACCCATAAACTCTGAAACTATACACCTTTGATACAAAATTGTTTCTAGTCCCAGTGATTTAGATTCATCAAATAATTTCATTCTCTCTATACCATTCATAAAAGCTAATGTGTGGCTCTAAATTCTCCTACATGATGATTAACTGTGGCCTGAAGATAGATTGCCAAACCTAATATAAAACGATAGTCTTTAAATCCATGAAAGTTATTCCCCACCCACCATTTTTTTTGTTTTGTTTCTCAAAAATCATTAAAATTTATTTTGGCCCTCTTATTATCTTAGTGACATCATCTTGGGAAAATGTTAGATACTGATAAGACACTCACTGATGGTATAAATAAAGTTATGAGCCAAATCTGTGTTAAAATGTACCATTTAACAAAATCTGTGGCTATTATGAATAAAACTTTCTGCTTTTGTGTTAATAATATGTCCAGAACCCACCTGTAGAAGTTCTTTTTGTATGCAGTATTCAGCATACGTGCTTTCATTCTGATGTACTTAATCAGGGATAGTAGTTTTCTGGGATAAATCTGGTTTCTTATCCGCCTGGATATAGCAGAAACATAGTGGGATATATAGGTGTGTTGTATAACTTTTTTCTCATTTACACCTTTTCCTTTTTTAGTAAGAAAACTGGGATTGAAATAGAATAACTTAAAGTTAATGGTAAAAATTCCAAGCCTGGCTGGGTATGGTGGCTCATGCCTGTAATAATCCCAGCACTTGAGGCCAGGAGTTCAAGACCAGCCTGGGTAAGATGATAAGACCCCCGTCTCTACAAAAAGAGAAAAAGCAAATAAATTAGCCAGGCAGGTGGTCTGCACCTCTAGTCCCAGCTACTCGGGATGCTGAGGCAGAAGGATCCCTTGAGCCCAAGAGTTTGAGGCTGCAGTGAGCTATGACTGCGCCATTGCACTCCAGCCTGGATGAGACCTCGTCTCTTAAAAAACAAACAAACTAACAAAAAACAAAAAAAGAATCCCAAGCCTTGTGCTGTCAGCTTCCATTAAAAAAAAAAATCCATATTATGACTAAAATTAAAGAATGATTTGGGCTCCACACTCACTTTTTAATTTCAGATACTCTTGAATATAAGCCCTTAAAAGCTGTAGTGGTTGTACCTGGTAGTTCCAGCACTCCAAATACAAGTACATAGTGTTGTAGAGAACGGATAAGCTACTAACCTTTTTCTTTCCTTTGTTTAAAATAAGAGTAGGAGCTAACCTTACCTCTCTGCAAGTTAATTTTCAGTTGGGTACATATTTTGAGGCTACTGTAAATAAAATTATTTCTGAATTATAATTTTCATAACTTATGTCCTAAAAACAATTGCAGTTATCATGCACTTTGAATAGAAATTTCTAAAATATTAAGCCTTATATCTGAGTAAATCGTGTCATTTTAGAGATAGGAAAATGGAGTTAGTCAAAAATCAACAGACCTTTTATAGTAAATAGAATATACTACTGTTTTATGACTCTTGGAGGTTTAAGTCTAGATCCAGTCTTGCCTCTTAGTTTTTAAGTTAGAGCTGCTAAGAGCAGAAAGGATTTCTGCACCTTATCAGAATATCCCAAGTGGTACTGGTGGATCGTGGAAGTGGGCTGCATGTTTCTTTATCCTCTTATGCTTACTAGATCATTATTCAGGAATTGCCAGCCTTTTCATGATTATGATTATTTTTAACCAAGTAGTATGATTAGTGCTGCTCATTGGGAGAAACAAAAGAGGTTATCTACCATCCCAGGTTTGCAGCTGCTTTGAGGGCTGAGGGGTACAATATCCAGGCATATTTCTTTATCATTTGAGACCTACCTGTTGGGACATCCTGCTATGAGTGGACCTTGACTTTATTCATCTGCCTTTTATCTCAAAGAATTCCATAAAATGTCATTTGTTTTCAGAAGGAATACTCACATTCATAGACTCATATTCATGTGACTCTATACCAACTGTCTGGATTGGGATGTGGAAGACTGACCCCAAAAGAAACTTTATGCCTTTGAAGAAACTAATGAATTAAGTGTCGGTGCTTCTCTTGAGTGCAGCTTTCTGGCTCTTTGCAGATTTTTATGGTGGCTTTGTTTCTTGTTCTGCGTTATTCTCTAAAGATTGAGCAGCTGTCTTCTGTGGCTCAGGAAATACTTTTACAAATATGTAGTAGCTTATGCCTGTAAAATCCCAACTGAGTACAGAGGCTGAAGTGGAAGGATTGCATCAGGAGTTCAAGACTAATTGGGCAACGTAGAGAAAGAAATCCCATTTGTTAAAAAAAAAATAAAATTTAATTCAGTCTCCCATCAGTATCTGTCGGGAATTGGTTCCAGGACATACCTAGATACCTAAATCAAAGAATGCTCAAGTTCTTGATTAAAAAAATGGCATCAGATTTGCATAGCCTATGTATATCCTCTCATTATTTTTGATCTCTAGATTATTTATAATACCTAACAGTGTAAGTGCTCTGTAAATAATATACTTATTTTTTAGGGGATAATGACATGGAAAAATATTTGGCCATTTTAACTTTGAATACTCAGTTGAAT